CACGCCCCACCACGCCCAGCCATTCCTGTCGAGGAAATTGGCAATAAGAGCAAGTCTTAATTTCCGGCGTTTTATCTACTGAAGGGCCTGCTCTCCTCTGTTCACTCATTTCCCTAAACTCGGATCAACACTCCTGGCTACCAAACTTATATCCGCTAGATAAAAAGGAGAAAAAAAAAACGTGAAAAACTTTGTCCAATTTTCTCAGGAAACGAAGAGAAGAAGAAGAAGAAAAACCCCACGTAATACATAGTAAGAGGTGCGTCCGAACGTGATGGGAGAGAGTGGTGGGGAGAGCCACCATACCATCCGTCGCTGTCGCTCAAGTTTGCGCTGAGTTGACTCTCCGAGGACAGCGCTGGCGGGCCACTCCGGACAGCGGCGTCGACGACGACTTTGGGCGGACAGGGCAGGACGACGAACGGACAGGCGGGCAGACACACGGACCGACAGAGACTCCAGGGGTGCTGTCTCCGCAGCGTCCCAAACCGTCCGCCCTATTGTTCTAGGCTGACAGGACGTGTCCGCTCGACACTCAAACCGCAACCCTTTCCCCCACCACGCCGCCTCTCTTCCTCCTCCCTCCTCCCCAGGGGATGAAAATCCCAGACCCTTATCCTAATCTTGCACAAAACAACCGCTTGCCTTTCTAACAAATCCTCCCCTTCCCACTCCCCCATCCCCTCTCTCCTCTCCCTTTCTCTCTCCATCGCACCCTTTCACTCACTCACCCTCTGGATCCCAAAAGGATGCGGGAGCGACGAGGGTTGCGAGGCCTGGCCGGCCGGCCTGGCCGGTTGCCTAGAGGCCGGTTGCCTGGCCTGCCGGTTGTCGTGTTGCCGGACTATCAGTACCGGCCGGGGCATACCGGACGGACCGGACGCCAGCTGCAGAGCTCCGCTAGTTCCGCGGCTGCGTCCGCAAGGGGAGCGCCCGGAGAACCGCAGGCGACCCCGCCCCCCTCACACGCAGCCCCGGCGCGCCACCTCTCCGCAGCCCGGCGTGGGGCGTAAGGGATCGTCTAAAAAGTTCGACCGTTTTCTTTCGTATTTTTTTAAAAAAAGTCATTCTGCATGTACGACGGGTGCTGGGCGCCTGCGAGTCCCAGGGTAGGCCGCGCCGCAGTACACGCATGCTACGCAGGCCAGATGTTGCCTTCCCATCAGGCGCTATGAGAGCTATAGCTTGAAACGGAAATGATCTCGACAGTTTCGTTACGGGAAGGACAGGACGTAAGTTCTGAATGATCTCTAAGCAGGTGTAGCAATTATCATCATTCTGTATGACGGTTGGGAAAAAATTACTGCACAAAATGCATAAAAACAAAACAAGTGATTGAAAAAAAAGAGTCGTTCGCTCGCGGGGGCAGTTATACGAACCCCCAAAACCACCACCCCCCCCCTAAGGCACCGACCCCGGCTCCAAAGTTTTGACAGTGGCCGTGTCGTCGCCCGCGTCCCGCTCGCGCCTCTCTGCACGCGCGCATAGAGCGAGCGATCGGGACGATATCGAATTTAATTTCCGTGTGAATTAAAAGGGGCAAAGAGCAGCCCGTTTGCTCGCTGCGCCTCATCGTTCACAGCAGTTTTCACCCCCCCCCCCACTCCGCGCCCCGCCCCGACACGCTCTGCCTGGCCCTAGTGTCGCAGCCGGTCCACTGATGGCAATCAAGGCCCCGCAGTCAGAAACTCGGCTCTGGCAGTCCAAGTTTCACACGGAGCCCCTCCCCCCCTCCACCCCCACCATGTCAAATCATCTGTCTCCCGGGGCGGGGTGGAGGGGACATAGAGGGGGAGGGACCCAGACTGGGACCCAGAGGCAGGCGGGCGTAAGGACAAGGGCGGAATGAAATAAAAAAACAACAGCCACCCAAGTGAAAGCAAAGTCCACCGCAGCTGCAAGTCCAGCTACAAA